TATTATGAGCATCAGTTGTTCGTATGGTGGGAGGTCTAGTGAAGGAAACTATATAATTCATAACGTAATTGCAAGCTATGGGTCATGAATTTGGTTGAGTTTATTGGCCACGTTTCCACTTCTTTCTATTTACCATAATTATCCAAAACAAAAATCATGAAATCTTTTCATTTTCATTTACCATGCTCTAACTAGTCTTAAACCTAAGTATCTCCAAAATGAATTCATTCAAATCATATCAATACCACAACAAAGCAACCAAATAATATAGAATCATACTTGCATTATGAGCACACTTCTACATTAACTTCACAAATGGAATCATTAATCTCATAGACATCAAAATGGAATAACTTCATACTTACAAGCACATATAGACACATTTCATAATCGAGACACATATGTCATCATCTATTTTTACCTCTCATGTCTAATAGCATTTAACCATTATAAATAATCAAACATCAATTTTATGTCAAAGCCAAGCCAATCTACGAGTGTTATCATTTAGGAGTTTAAGCAAAAGATATTTACACTAATTAGCTCGGGTGTGATTTGCAACACCTAAAATGAAATCTTGAACGATCTACGAGTGTTAATTACCTGCAAAGACATTAAATAAAATGAGTAAATTTATATAACTTAGTGAGGTAGTCTCAAAACACTATAATTTTTATAATCACTATGGATGGCAGCTAACATGAGATCTTGGCATTTTTATTCTTGAACAATTCAGTAACATACTAACAATTTGAATCATGAACATGACATACATATACATATGATTAGTCATTCTTGTATTGCAAGCAATTTAATCATAAATTCATATTAATATTTAACCCAATGAAACATAAGTGACTATGGATACATAAATCGTAATAATATCTCCAAAATATAACGTAAATGGTCATACCCTCCAACATCCCTAAAGACTAACTACACAAATACCTCCGATGTAACAATATCCCAATGACCGAAGTCGTACATAAACTCATCTATGAATACAAATGGACTCTATGACATGCCATACGTATCTAACACTCAACTAATGTCCAAGTGCAATTAGATTACATGTTTATACTTACTTTCATGCCAAGTTACATGATGGCACATAATTATTCATAAGTTGATGAAAAAAGAATAGTATGACATAATTGACCTTCAAACTCCATAGTCAAGATTATACACCTATTAAAAAATTTCTAAATTATACATTGAAGTCCTATTTTATACTTAACATATCAGAAGACTTCACATACTTTCATTTCAAAATTCATTACTTAACTTTGACATACTTAACACATTTACATATCTTGTAATTACAATAATATCGCATGATAGCTTATCATAATAAGCCTACATATCATAAAAATTGACATTCAAATCATGAAAATCTTGTACCATAATTAAGCTTACCATACTTATAATTTCCATCCCACATTACTATAATTGAGCCAAAATACTCAATTAACCTTAGATATCAAAACGGCATTACAAAATAAAATCAAATTAAAGATTTTGACATCAGACTTGAAAACGATTACACTCGCCAATTATCCGAGATCACAAGGCGTCCCATATTTCCACATCACTTTTGGCAGCCTTGAATTTCCTTCTTTGACTAGCAACTTTCTCAATTGAGTCTTCATCTAGAAAATCAACATCACAATTCATACCCTGATCCAACAATTCATAATTAACCCTAAATGTTATGAAACCCTAAATTGGAAAAGGGTTTAGGGATTAGCCTAAGCCATGACTAAAAATCATAATAAATTCACTAATAAACATCTAATCCCATGGGAGTTCACAAGAGCGCTGATAACAAGGGTTTAGAATACTTTACATTGAAACTTTTAATTGTAGGGTTTAAAGCTCAATTCATACTAATCTTAAATTATAAAATGATACTTGCCAATATAAGCTTGATGGTTGTTAAACTAGAACAAATGGCAAACACCCTTGAGAGATTAAAACAAAAATAGAGGATTGCAAAGAGGCAACTTGTAGCTTGATATTTGAGTGGCCTGAAGTAGGTGTGGAAAACCTTGGGCCTAGGAGTTATTGAGGCAGGCTACACTTTAGGTTTACAAATGATATGCTCAAAGGCCTATGTCTTTGAATTACTTACATTCAAAGAAAGAAGCACCACCAATGGTTTAATTTTTAGGTTGTGGATGACTTGCTCTCCCTCTAAACCCCTTTTGTGCTTAATCATTTTCATCAGTATTATTTAAAGCAACGTGATATAGACAATAACATCTTCCCATTCACCACCTGAGTTTCCTTACATTCCATATCAGGCACATCCTTCTTCTTTTGTTTTGACAAGACAATGTTTTACAATGACACATTTTATGAGCAAGCTCTATTTTTTTTAGAAAGCGGAGGACCAAGTGGTGGACCTAATGCTCTTTTTAACATGACACGTCTCACATTCTTGTTTTTAAGAGGCATTTGGTTCACTAAATATAAGACTATCTTTGGGAATCAGATTACTGGAATGTAATGTTACTATGAGAATATTCTACTAACTTGTTTGGTTTGTTTAGTAGGAATATAAGATGAAATTCTTTGGTTGGAGAAACATAAGAGTATTTGAAAGCACATTTTACCAAATATTACTATGATATATATTATTTTCAACAAGTTAAACTTTAATATTAAATTATAAATATTTAATAACTTTTCAAGAAATAAATACATTTAACATATAAGTAATATAATTAGTATATCAAATTTATATTTTTAAATAGTTTTCATATGTGTCATATTTATTTATGTAAAATATAATATAATGAAAAAAAAAAATATTGTAGTCTCAAGTAGACAAAGATATTATTTTCAATGTATAATTTTTTTTAACTTTTATTAACTTACGCCAAATTTTATTATTTTTTTTAGGTAATGTATAATTTTATACTCTATCAATAAAATTTATGATAATTATAATTTTTTAAAGAATTTATAATTAAATTTTATTAACTTTATTCTAATACAATAATATCATTTTCACCTCAAAAAATTATAAATATATTAAATATTAAAAACATATAATAATTTTAATTACTAAATATATTAATATTTTCCTAAATCAAACTCTTTATATATTATTATGTTTATAATTTTGAGTAAAACACGAAGAATGACATTTGAAAAGAATATATATGAAAAGAACTCATTATTTTAGGGGTATTCTTGACTAAAATTAAAAAATTGTGTTAAAAATTTGGATATAATGACATCCTCACCGTTTTAATTGAAAAAGGCTAAGGTTGGTAATAAGTTATTGTCTAGTAATATAATTCCGGAAAAAATTATTCCCAATGATAATGATATTTTTGGTGAACCAAACGCCGTCTAAAAATTGTTAATTCTAACATAATATTTTTTTCATTGTTATTACTATCTTTTATTCATCTACTGGTTCACCCTTTGTTGATTCGGGTCCAGCGTCGTAAATCATTTTTATCTCAACATTTTAAGGAATCTCATTTAATAGTATCTCTACTAAGCGTGCAGAGGCATCTAATTTCGAAGTATCCTAATGATCTCCTTATTAGTAATCTAACAATTTATTTTCTATGATACACTTGTTTTTCGTTATTGTCTTCCATGCCATACGAGGGTTCACTTTTTGTTGATTCGGTTTGAGAGCCGTACATCTTTTTTTGGTAACACCTAATACTCAATCGAAATGGTTCGATCCGGATACCAAGTGACACTTTAACCACCGAAGTGACTTGAAACCTAATTGTATATCCAAATTACTACTAAGGATAATTAAATTAAAATTTCAGATGATTCGTGTCGGAACGATTTTTTCTCTTAAAAATAAATTTAAATTTTAAAAATATGATTTTTAAAAGGTCTCATCTCGAATAACTTGGTGACCTATTATTAATAAAACGTGATTCAAAGAGTCGCCATCAATATTTGATTATGGTGTGATTGGGCACCTAAAAATGTATTTGCTATTTTAAGAAAATTATTAATTTTAATTAAAACAACAAATTTGAGCTATGCATTACCAAATTTTGAGTTTGGGAGTCGGTTACGCGCGGGGAAGGATTAGCACCCCAAAACGCCCTAAATATGTGCCTAGTTGATTATTTTTTTGGATAATTCAATTAATTATATTACCCAACGAATCAAGAACTGCTACAAAAAAAATAACCGATCACAAAATCGTATGTACACTATACTTACAAGACAAAAGATCGGTTAATCAATACCCCAAGAATTACATAGGAAAGTATTGATACTATCAAACATATTAATATTTACCCCCCTCAGTTTGATAGAAACAGAATTTTTGATGCAAGCAAACAGTTCTTCGGTAGTCCTTGTACTTCTTCAAAAATTCGTCTATTTCGTTCCTCCCATATCACATAGATTTTGGCACACCAAGCAATCTTAAAAATGGTTGAGATAAGAGATTTTCCTTTCCAGGTATTGCTTGCCCATGTGATCAAGTCTTCCCAGGTTGAGATTGATTTCTTTAACCCATTATGAAGCAAAATAGAGTCCCATAAATTAGCAGCCATTGGACATTCAAAGAATAGGTGAGACCGATTTTCCATCATTCCATTGCAAAGTACACAATCCCCCGAGGTGATAATTCCCATTCGCATAAGTCGATTGCAGGTAGGGAGACAATCAAGAATAGCCATCCATGCTATAATACTGTGTTTCGGAATATGGTAAGGGTACCAAATCAAGGATTGCCATTTTACTTTATCTCCATTCATTCTAATTTCCAGCCAAATATGTTTGATGGTGAGATTGCGATTCATGATAACAGGGAGAGCTTCAGACCGAAGCTTGAGAATTCTATTGAAACTCCAACTGAAATTAGGACTTCCTTCAATGTGCCAGAAGTTCTTCTCCTTTAGTACGTTAGTATTGATCCAGGTAACCCATAACGATCCCTCACCTATAAGGATGTTTTTGATAAGTTTGATTATGCAAGCTTTATTCCAAGATTTCTAGTTCTTCAATCATAGACCTCCCTCGGATTTAAGTTGACAAATCTTCTCCCAACTAACTCGCACGCCTGTAGCAGCCTTGTCGCTTCCTTTCCAGAAAAATCGGGAGAAGAGTTGGTCGATTTTATTGATAACAGCTTGAGGGAGCAAGAGTTGTCTGCACCAAAAATTGGAAACGCTAAATAGGACTGCTCGAATTAGCTCCAGACGACCAACAAAGCTCAGCATTTTCCCAGACCACAGATTCAATTTGGATTTAATATAATCAATTAGCTGGTCACAATCTTTTATGGACAGTTTTCTAGTAATTAGAGGAATACCAAGGTAGCGAACTGGAAAGCATCCAATACTGAAACCAGAAAACTGCTTTATCTTCTCAACAGTTCGGTTCTCAACACCGGCAGTAAAGAAAACACATTTTGCAGCGTTTAGATTTAGCCCTGAAATTTCTTAATATTTATCAAGTACCGATATAACACCTGCAGCAGACTCAATATTTCCTTTACAAAAAATTAGTAAATCATCGGCAAAGGATAGATGGGTGAGGCCAAGTTGCTTGCATTTAGGATGATAATTATAAGTCCTCGAGTAGCTGCTAAATTAAGAAGTTTGGATAGCACATTCAGAGATAAAACAAAGAGAAAAGGTGAAAGATAATCACCTTGCCTTATGCCTCTTTCTCCCTTGAAGAAACCTACTAAACTCCCATTGAAAGAAATTGAGAATCGAGCTTCGGTGAAACAAGCTTGAATCCAGCCTATAAATCTTTGAGGAAGGTCAAGTACTTTCAAAACTGAAATAATGAAGTTCCAATGAAGGGTGTCAAATGCTTTTTGAAGGTTGATTTTCATTGTGCATCTTGGAGATATGTTTTTCCTTCTGTACCCCTTAACAACTTCTTGAGCAATGAGTGTGTTATCAACGATGCTCCTGCCCTTAATAAAAGTTGATTGGTTGAGAGAGACCATTTCTGGCATGAGACTTGTCATTCTTTTAACTAAAATCTTTGTAATCACCTTATAGATGACTGAACAACATGAAATTGGTCTGAAGTCTTTGACTTTGCAAGGGTTGGGGATTTTGGGAATTAAAGCAATAATGGTTGCGTTAAAAGCTGGGAGCAGATGAGAATGCTGGAAAAAGTAGTGAATTGCAGCAACAACATCATTACCAACGATGGACCAGGAGTGTTTGAAGAAATATGGAGTGTATCCATCTGGTCTAGGCGCTTTGTCATTGCCTTAACCAAAGATAGCTTCCTTGATCTCTTCGATAGTGACATCTTGGACTAGTATTGGGACAGAATCACGTGGCAGGGAATAATTAAGGATTTCTTTCAAAAGATTCTGGTTGATGTCTGTGACCTAGGATCAGTCGTCCCGATCAGATTAGTAAAAAATTGAATCACTTCAGCAGCCATTGAATCGAAAGAATCAAGTCTATTTCCGTGGTCATCAATAAGCAATCGAATAGTCTTCTTTTTGTTTTTGACTGTTACGGCATAATGAAAACATTTGGAGCATTTGTCTCCTTCCTTGATCCATTGATGTTTGGCTTTTTTCTTCATAAATGATAATTCATCTTCTTCAAGGATAAATAATTCATTTTGAATTTGATGCTCTTTTTCAAAAGAGTATTCACCTTTTAAAGAGAGAATTTGTTATTGTTCAAGTTCAAGCCTCTTTTGGATAACCCGAGAAGAGATTTCACTATAGCAAGACTTGTTAAGATTCTTGAGACTAGTCTTGAGATGCTTGAGCTTAAGAAACAGTATCATCATTGGGTTCTCGTGGAAAGGAGATTGCAAAGACTGCTCAACTATTCTCAAAAAGCTAGAATGTCATGTCCAAAAATTGAAGAATTTGAAGGGCTTTGGACGATTAGTGTGGGTTTCTTTTGAAAGCTAAGTTAAAGCCATACAATGATCTGAGACTCCAGGGGAAAGGAATTCGACATGAAAGTTGTGGAATGAGAGAGCCCAAATAGGATTAATAAGAACCCTATCAAGTTTCCTTGCTAGGTAAGATTCTGATTGTTTGTTACTCCATGTAAAAAGGGGGCCAATAAAAGGATGGTCATGGAGATCGAGATCCTGAGTTAAATCCTGAAATTCTTTCATTTCAGGAGTCGAGGTCGGACAAAGAAGCTCATAGTCAAAGCTTTCATTCAGACGAAGAGTAATGTTAAAATCGCCACCGAGGATCCAGGGGAGATTTCCTATCTTACTGTCCAAGTCTTTCATTTGGTGCCAAAGATGTCTTCTATTGATGCCATCATTTTCCCATAGACTGCAGAAATAACAACCGAACTTCCAAGGAAACTTCCTTTAACAATAATTATTTGATCTGAAATGAATAGAGTATTGATGTCCAAATAATCCTTCCAAAGCACCCAAATTCTTCCATTAACAACAAACTCATAATTGGAAGTGACATTCCAGTTGTCAAGTTTAGTTTCTATGATTTCCTTGGACTTTTCAAGTTTGACTCTAGTTTCTAACAAGCATAAGATATCAACTTTATTCTGTGTTGCCCTTTGAAGCATTTTATTTTGCTTTAGAGGATTGTTGATTCCTCTAATGTTCCAGAAACAGATAATCATTTGGAGAGGATCTCCAAGGAGGATCCTTCACCCCAACCATTGAACTTTTTAGATTTTCCTAACTTATCTTTTTTTTCTGTTTGAGTTCTTTAACTATTACTGCTACTCCCAATGAAGCATTTCTTGGTTTCTTCAGCTAGTCCTCAATAGGGGAAGGACTGTCATCCACTGAGTTGAGAGCCTCAAACCTATTTTTTGATCCAGTAAAAATATCTTTGTCCTTTACAGGTCTATCTCTCCCTCGTTTAGGAACAAATGAATGAGGAGCTTGTATACCTTCTTCATTTATTGCAGCGTTGTTTGATGGGCTCTGCTGGTTAACATCATCAGGGATTTTAGAAATATCGTTATAAGCAGTATGTCTGTGACAGTTCCCTTTCCATGTGTAACATCATTATGAGGTGAGTCAATAGAGTCCTGTAGCTTCTCAGTCTCAACAACACTGGAAAATGGAATTGAATCTATCTTCTTTCTGATTTCAATAGAGATAGGTTCTGTGTACCTAGTTGATTAATTAGTTGACTTTACAAATGAAATTTACGAGTTCGAGTTTAATTTAATTTAAGATCTCATACAAATAATATTCTTTGAATTTTAGAACAAAACATGATAATGTTTAATATTTCCTATCGAGAAGAATCGACCTCTTATGCCTTAAAGAAGCCGATTCTTACTCCAACTTAAACAAATAAATATTACAATTTCATTCTAAAGTTCATTATTAATTCAATAATTAAGCATATAAGTAATAATAAAACAAAATAACTCTAAGACCCTTTTTTAAATATATTATTTGAATTTCAAGAGGGAAAACAATAATGTCTAATTATTTCCAATCGAGAATAAATGATCTCTCATGCCTTAAAGAAGTCATTTATTACTTCAATCGAAATAAAGAGATATTAATAGTTCATCCTAAAATTCAAAATGCTATTTATTTTGAAATCCCATTGAAAATACATGCAAAAATAAAAATTAAAAACATATATCAAGCAAGTACAATTAATTAATTATTTTAGCAACCTTTAATGAGAATAAGGATGTTCGATTATTTAAATACATTGAGACGATACCTTAGATTCGATCTAACAACCATTTTCAGTGAACTTAATTAAAAGAACATGATCTTTTTCTCAATCCCCAAATTTTAAAGTGGAATCAATTTAATTCTTGTCACTTAATAGAATAAACTTTCATTTTAAAATTATCGAAAGTGACTTTCTTATACGTTAAGACAGTCACTTTACAACAATCTTAAAATGAACATATATTACCCTTAGTCAACTTATTTAAATCGAGTCAAGTAATGATTATGAGATTTCATTCAAATTAATCCTAAGCATATATTTAGGACCAAAATGAACATATTTAACATTGCATGCTATAATTATAATAAAAAATTAAATAAGATACGAGGACCAAAGTGTAATCAAATAAAAAATGTAACCAAATCAGAAATAGACAGTGATCAAAATGCATAAATTGAAAGTATCACATCAATTTCACAAATAAATAAAGATAACAGAACCAATTAGTGACTAAAATGTAATAACATAAAATTCAGTAATCAATTTCAAATAAATAAAAAATAGAACAGTGAATAAAATAAAATAAAATAAAATAAAACAGAATGATAAAAATGCAATAAACTAGAAAAGGAAGGTCCAATGACAAAAATACAAAAAAACGGTAATCATAAGGGGACCAGTAAGAAGATAAGCCAAAATGTCAGTATTAGAACATTAAAATGGTAAAATAAAAAAATAAGGATAATTTATTTGAAAAGATCACATGACCGTGACCAAAATGCAGGCTAGAGAAACTTGGGAGGACCAAAGAGGAGATTAAACCATTGGGAGCTAAAACACACAGTCATAGCCTCGCTTTCCTCATTTTTTTCATTTTTCTCTCATTTTTCTTTCCCCCTTATTCTAGAGAGAGAAGCTCTCTCTTCTCTCTAAATCCAGGCCACTCACCGGTCGTCGCATCGGTCGTCACCGACTACCGTGTCACCAACGTCGTCGGTGGTCGTTCAGGGAAAAAATCACCAAACTGACTCTCCTCGATGCAGTGGTCACGGATCTGCCCTTGGTTTCACGAAAATTTGCCCCAAACTCCATGAAAAAGGCCAAAAACCTCTTGGCTTCTAACGCTTCGATCTCCACCATTCACCATTAGATCGGGTTGATACCGGAGTATGTTGTTCTCATTTCTCATGCACTCTTCCTCACCATTCGGATTAGAAAAAGAAAGTCCCTAACACCGGTGGAGTGCTCGACCGAAAGTAACCTATTTTCTCTTCTTCTTTTTTACTCTGTTTTTACTAAAAAAATGTCTTATATTTCGAATGAAAAAAGAAAATTGTTTCTCTGAAAATATTTTTTTTGGTTTTTGTATTGCCTTCAAAAATGGAGGGAGCCCCCCTTTACATTGTTGTTTATGGATTTTATAATACTCGTTACATTTCTGAAATAAAATAAAAAATGATATTGATTTGATATTTGCTTGTTGTTGGGATCTGCCGGTTGAGCTGGGATCTGGTGGCAGGAGCTGTTGGTATAGTACCCAGTAATGGTGTTGTTGGCTGGTGGTGGGTGCACCTACAACTGGGCATAGTAATGATTGATTGAGTGATGTTTCCTGGATTTTTGGTATTTTTTCATTTGCTTAATGGATTTGATGTTTGGTTAGGTAAACTGACTTTCTGTTATTGATGTGAGTTGATGATGATGTGTTGAAACGAAAGAGGTCGAAACAGTGGCGATGATGTGGTGTTCTCGGTTGGTAGTAGAGGTCGAAACAGTGGCAATAATGCGGTCTTCTCGGTTGGTAGTAGAGGCGACAACAACACGAGAGGCTAGGGTTTTAACAAACCCTAATCTCAGTGGGCTTTAGCCTACTATTTGGGTTTTAATTTAGGCCCACTGGGTCATTTGGGCCGATTGTATTTGGGTTTGTAATTTGGCCTACCACAGAAATAAAATAAATATAAATATAAATAACAAATAACAAATAGTAATGATAGTAATAAGAATAAAAATAATAATAATGGTATCCAGACGAAAATGGGTGTCGACAACTATCCATATTTGCCCATTCTTGTGTGAACAAGAATAGGGAAAATACAAAGAGACAACAAGCTTTCGTCCGGTGGAATCTGTGCTTGGAAATATGATATTTTCTTAAGTGAGACTGGATTTGAACAATATCTCAAGAGAGATTCTTGAATATCAAATCTGAAAAGGGATTTGCTTCACTGCTTCTTCAGGGTAAATTAGATATGGAAATGTCGATTCATTCCACTGTTCTTCAGGGAAGATTTAATCGAGGCAGACTTGTTCCACTATTCCTTAGGGAAGATCAAATCTAGAAAAAAGAGGGATCTATTTCGCTGCTTCTTCAGGGAAAATTAGATATGGAAACATTGACTCATTCCACTATTCTTCAGGGAAGATTGAATCGAGGTAGACTTGTTCCACTGTTCCTCAGGGAATATCAAATCTGGAAAAAAGAGGGATCTATTCTGCTTATTCTTCAGGGAAAATTAGATCTAGAAACATTTATTCATTCCATTGTTCTTCAATGAAGATTGAATCGAGGAAGACATGTTCCACTGTTCCTCAGGGAAGATCAAATATGTAGAAAAGAGGGATCTGATCCGTTGCTTCTTCAGGGAAAATCATATATGGAAATATTGATTCATTCCACTATTCATTAGGGAAGATTGAATCGAATCTGATTTTCTTCTCTTGTGTTCAAGAACATCAAATCTGAAAATTAAACATTACCACTTGTTAGTATGTATTTGAGAATTTGAAAATGTCACACCTGAAGGTTTGGAATTCAAGAGAATCTTTGACAATCACTTTCTCTTGTTTAAATTTGTCTAACATTCACCGAATATGGGAATCTGCCTCAATTTAAGTATCATTTGAACCTCTCCCTTTTTAGGAATTTGAATCGGTCTTTTTTTCAAAAATTTCGTTTTCTAAAAATACTAAATGAGAAACTTTAAAAATTGTTTTCTCATTTTTTTTTTTGAAAATCTTGAGAAAACATCCTTCCCGAAGGTCTTATGAATGGCCCAAAGGACTTATCATCTTGCTCGTAAGGCTTATAAATGACCCGAAGGATTTAATCATCATGCTTGAAAGACTTATTAATGGCCCGAAGGACTTACTAATTTTGGAAATAGTTTACTAGGTAAGAAACTTTGGAAATCGTTTTCTTACTATTCAAAAATTTCAATTTTCAGAAAATATTTAAATGAGAGACTTTGGAAATCTTTTTCTTATTTTTCGAAAAACATGTGAAAACATTTTGCTCGAATGTCTTATAGATGGCCCGAAGGACTTATCATCTTTCTTGAAAGTTTGACAAATGACCCGAAGAATTTAATCATCATACTCGAAAGACTTACTGATGGCACGAAGGACTTACTAAGTAAGAAACTTTGGAGATCTTTTTTTTACTTTTCAAAAAAAAATCAAAAAAGGTTTAAATGAGAAATTTTGAAAATTACTTTCTCATTTTCTTGAAAATCATGTGAAAACGTCCCGCCCGAAGGTCTTATGGATGGCCCTGAGGACTTATTATCTTGCTTGAAAGACTTACAGATGACCCGAAGGATTTAAGCATCATGCTCAAAATATTCACTGATTGCCCGAAAGACTTACTAAGTAAGAAACCTTTGAAAATCAAGCTTGGTTTCTTAAAAAACTTTTGAAACCATCAAATTGGTTGAGTAATCATCAAGAAACCTCTGAAAATCAGACTTAGTATTTTATAAAATGTATATTGATTGGGTAAAATGCCCCACTTTAAAATAATGATCATTATGTTGATTGGGTTTCTAAATTCTTGAGGTTCTACCATTCTAAATGTAATTCCCTCCATTCAAGGCTTGAATCATGACCTTTTTTTCCTCTTATTTTCTTAAAAATCTGTAAGAATTATATATGTATGTATGATGTATGATGTAATAACGCAAATTCATGTATCATGTATAAATGCATGTTTTCTTGATCTGTGGTAGGAATGGCTGCAAGAGCGGTCTTCATTCACTTCTTGATTAAGTTGTCTTTACTTTTTTTTTGCACTAACATTCACTCTTGTAATTCTTGATTTGTTCCAATTTCTTCTTACCCGACAAAATTTTCACCTGATAAGACTTACTTTCTTCGTCTGAACTTGTGTAGAAATCTGATAGAGCTTTTATCTTTGAAAAGAGGATCCACTTTCAAGCTTTGGAAACTATGTAAGTGCTGCTATCCTGTAGTGGGAAATAAAAGGTCACTACCTGGAGCTAACCACTGCAACAATTGATGGAATATCAGACTGCCCAAGAGAGCCATGAGACACA